TGTCAACAATATGGGTAATCTAGTACGAAGGAAGCCACGGGAATTCGATGGGAAGACATTTGAGCTACTGGCAGAAATGAATAGACGGACAGAGGAGCAGAAAGCAGTGTACCGCGCAACGAGCCTGAAGGGACAACCACTGGAAATACTTGGACAGTTGTCAGCAGACGACAGGCACAACTATAGAGCACAGGTAACTGCTCTAGAACTCAGGTATGGAACTCAAAATCAGTCGGATGTCTACAGGGCTAGGTTTAAGAAGATGAGTCCATGCTAAAGGGGAGAGCCTGCAAGAGCTGGCACAGGATTTGGAAAGTATGGCACACAAGGCCTACCCTACTGCACCACCCGATGTCCTCAAGTTGATGCTGAGGGATCAGTTTGTAGATGCCTTGGACAGTCCACAACTGAAGATACAAGTAAAGCAAGCACACCCCTGTACTATGCAGGATGCAATGGCCAGAGCTCTTGAATTCGAATCCTATGTTAAGTCCAGCACAGACGTACCAAGGTTGGTACAGTCATCAGGATTCAAGGCCAGAAAATGTCAGCTTTCAGAGAAGTTTGAGGGACTTTGCTGGCACTATTATAAACCTGGGCACAAGAGAGCTCAATGCTGGAAACTTTAACATAGGGAAGATGTCACGGCACGAAAGGCTGCTACCCAGAAAGGTTGTTGGAAATGTGGAGAGCAAGGACATATGAGGAGCCAGTGTAAGAACAATACTACCAATAAGTCGGCTTTGAGGAAACCAATAATGGTTCGTGTTGAGAGATGCCTACCAACCCCCACTGTGATAGTCCCAACAACTAGGTGTAAATGCCAAGCACACATACTGTCTACGTGACAGGAAAGCTAGATGGCCAAAAGTGCAACTTTGTTATAGATTCTGCATCTCAGCAACCCTTTGTGGGTATCAAGGTGCTAGATCACAAAGGAGTACCAGAAGCCATACAGAAGCTCTGTGGTGTAACAGGACATTATACAAGGTTGTGGGGACCAGTGTGTGTAACTATTGAGCTCATGGGCATAAAGGACAGACACAAAGTATACTTGGCTGACACTGAAGACCTATGCATATTAGGGTTGGACTACTTATTACCGAAGAAGTGTGTAGTTAACTTTAATAAAATGACGTTTGGGAACAACAAAGGTCAAATTCCGGTAAGTGTTAAAAGAGAGGTTGAGCTAACCAGGTGAAATGGAACCAGGTATAGATATTAAAGCAGAGCAGGAGAAAGACCAAGATTTGAAGCCAATAATTGATTTTCTTCAAGCAAGTGTTTTGCACCCTGCTTGGGAGAAGGTGTCTAGCTTAAGACCTGTGACAAAGAACAATTGGGCACAATTGGACCAGTTGAAGCTTGAAGATGGTATTCTTCTCCAGAGATAGGAAACTGTAGATGGGAAAGTGATGACCTGACAAACAGTTATACCGAGAAAGTTACGGGAAGTTGTGCTGCGTCAATCCCATGATAGTTTAACAGGAGGACATCTTGGAGTTAAGAATACATTGAGTCACCTACGACAGAGATTTTACTGGATGGGAATGAGGCAAGATGTGGAAGAATGGT